ATACCAGACCCAACCGTTGTAGTACCTTGAGAGAAAAGATTTCATTTCTCTCTTTTGATCTCAAGGCTGCTACTCTCATTGCGTCTCATGTCATGAAAGGAGACTTTGGTGGCACTAGAATATTCGCCCTATGGAGACAAGAGGTGCGTGTCTCGTGTTCATGTCCAACGACGTCAGGATGACTACGTCTTTGAATATAGTTACCTTCTCTTCTAAAGTAAAGCTAAGGAATGCCCTATTTTATGAAGGCTTCAGATCTCGGTCAAGAGAGAGAAAGAAGAGGAATTATAGATCGAGAAAGTCACATTAGCTACACCAGACGCACAAGATTTTGACCTTAATTCAAAATGGGAGGTCATTTACTATAGTTTTGAAGCTTGATCTCGGAACTAAGATAATCTGGAATGCGATGTGGCATACCCTAAAGCCCTAAGAAATGCATGGGAAAGAAGGTCAGATTCACCCAAAAAAAGTGATCCAAAAATGGATTTGACCTAAAGTTTTAGGGTATGTCCGACAAAAGATTTTACTGACAACCTGTCTCAATCTTTACCTCTCTAGGATCAAGAAAGACCTCTTATTCTAATTAAGATGTTTTATCCCTAGGGAGTTTTCAAGCCAATCTATATGTCTCTTTGGTCTGACCTAGACTCATATAGCCTGATTACTTAGGCGAAGAGAGCAAGCTGGCGTGATGACAAAGGATTGAATCGAATACCTAGGGAATCTATGTACTCCTGAAGGAAAATCCATAAAAAAAGTTCTTTAGTGGGGAAGTTAAAAAAAGGGGAGATGAACTAGCTCTATATGATGAAATGCAAAAGTGAAGTTGCAATATTTCAAGCCTTTTCTTGAGTCCGGGAAGCCTCCTCAATATGATGGATCCCTAAAAATAGAGAAGGGTGTTCAAATGACACTTTTTCCCTTTTTGAACATCAATGAGATAGGCTTTTCTCCGAACCATTAACCCTTGTTCGAGAGGGAGAAGTTGATTCATTCAATGGAGCCCAGCCAAAACAGGGACAGGGTGAATCCGATGGGGTGAAGGACTCATCCGAAGGTGAAGCAGACTCAGAAGGAGGGGAAAGAGATGAGGACGAAAACGAAGTCACAGGGAGGACACGCCTGTGGATTTGAAGGGGAAGCTTCGAGAGAAACGGGAACGTTCTGCTTTATATGAGTGGAACGAATGGAGGGTTCCACTTCTTACTTATTCACTTCTACTTGAACCGGTCAATGAGCGTTTTAAGGATCCAAAGGAAGCTAAAAGAGAGAGAGTGAGACCCAAAAGAGGGGCGAAGCTAATAGAAGTCCTTTCTCTTCTTCTTTTTTCGTTATGCTTACCTCATAAGAAAGCAGCACAATCCACCCAGACGCGGCCATCATAAATGGTTCGTGTGACTGTGGTGGAGGTAGGTTCTAGATAATCCAATGGTCAAATCAGGCGGGCCCCCACCCCAGAACGTTGAATGAAATAGGTGGTCGGGTTCTCTTTCTACGACCCTTTTGTTTGATAGGTCCGGCCCCGGCCACCTATCCCTTATGTTTAGGAGCGGGATCAGCCCAAGAACGTTCTTATGTGGGGAATTCCTTCCTAAATGAAAGGACCTAGCTAGCCCTATGTTGTAATGGGTGATAAATGTGGACTTGTCCTGACTTTTATTAAGAAGAAAACCACTTAGCAAATGTACAAAGTGGACCACAGTTTGGATGATCCTCTTCTTCCAATTCAGGTTGGGTTAACCCATAAGTACAGCGAGACATGCTTGTGTCTTCGTGTTCTCCAGATTGGGGTCATGTGGAGGGCTTTGCCACTGATCTCGATTTGAAGCTCGATGAGGACCCTTACAACATATGGCTTGCTGATAGAAAAGCTTTTTTCGAGGATTCTTTAGATCTGGATAGAGTTTCACTTAGTAAAGAGAGTTATAGATTCGTAAGATCATGATAGAGTCCCTTTACTTTATAGGGGCACTAGCGTGCTACAACTAGTGGAGCAACCTGTGGAAAAAGGCTAGCGTGCTAGCCTAGAAGTATCGCAAGGCTCAAAAGCTTACCACGAGATTCTTCGTTATCTCCACTGAATATGTTAGGTTTTCAAAGAATGTCGGTTATATTCCGATTTCATTTTCAAGCTTGGTTATTCTGCACTTTCTTAAGAATAACAAATACCAATGTACATTTGATATTTAAGCATAGAAAATACCATTTTTCAAGGAAATGAGGTTTTTTTTTCAATTTGGACTTGTTAGATTGGGTGTCAAAACAATCTTGTGCTTAGTCACTTTAGCAAGTAATCTTAATATTGACATTAATCCCATCAATCTATAACAAATAACAATGGAATGCTAAAATCTAACACAAGTAAATGCAATAAAGCTAACATCATTCATTTCAAAACGTCTCATAGTTCAAAACAAAAATACTTAAATCATCCAAAAAAACAACACACATATTAAACCAAAAGAATAGAAGTCCATCACAATCGCTCGCTACTCAAGTGCTCGAACGTCCAGCAGCTCCACCATCTATACGACGGAGAATCTCTTCTAGCTTCGAACATGAAATGACATTCGAACGTGGATTCTAAGTTCAAACGTGGAATAAAATATATATATATATATATATATATATATATATATATATTACATACACATTTCTATATACAAAAATTGAAAGAAGGCTAAATGCATAAATAGGGCTTGGAAAAATATGGCGTCTCTGGATAAGTCCCTACCCGCACTATAATTTCGTTGGTATTTTAGGACATTCCTTACTCGGCCCACATATTTATTTTAACAAAAAGACTTTGTACATTTATCAAAAAGGATATTTACATTTTTACAAAAGGAGTTCAGACCATTGACCTTCATTCCAAAAACATGCTTTTCCTACAACTTTGTCAAGAAGAATTCTAATCCGAGTCTTGTCTTGTCTCCATGTCATTTGAAAAATTAGTGACTCTTTCAATTTCTTGTTGCACATAATGTGTAAGTACATGACTGGTATAGTATGACGTCTTAGGAAAATCCTTACTCTGCCCATACACTATCCAGTTTAATCGATCAAGTGCGCGACCAAAAATTAGTTAAGAACATTGATATTCCTTCATGGGAAAGATCCTGCCACATTTTTTACATGCACCAAGTCATTTGGCATGACGACGTTTAGCAAAGTTCTTCTTCCACATAGTGGTTTCGCTTGCTCTTCTCATATTTCAAATTTTCTTACGAATCTTGTTTTTTTCATTATTGTAGAATGTACATTAGATGGAAATGTGCGTAAGATACCTAAACTATACCAAAATATCTTATCGTCCATGTTTGCAAAGGTTTAGACACCCTATCTAGTTCTTTAAAGTTTGCCAATCATAAAGACAATTGAAGCTGCCTTTAAAGCCATGATCATTTTTTTTAAATACTATGAAGACTGTATAAATATGAAATATGATCAAGACAAAATTTTAAAAGTACAAAGCTGTGTAAATATGAATTGTATTTCTCACCCCCAACCTAAACTGAACAATGTCCTCAATGTTTTGGATTTACAAATATACGCAAAGTGATTTTAGGGTTGAGAGAGATTTGTTCATCTGTAGAAGCCCTACAAACAAGATACATATTTAATCATCTTTACAAACATCAGGGTTTTGATTAACATGAAAACCCTTATGCGTAAGTGCAAAAAGAAGAATGAAACCCATGTGTAAATACGGAACTAAAATACAAAACATAAAATAAGGGATGGTATATGTGGAGTGTGTAGCCACAAAGTTTGTAGAGGGTGAAGCATCACAAAGAAAGGGGAAGAAGAAAAAGAGTGGTGGAGCGGAAAGATTAGGGTTTGGAGGCCTTATAAAGGCGTTCGTTCGGGTAGGGTTGGGCTGAAATTTTCATGACCCAACCCTTCTCCGTGTCGGCAAGCCCGAATTTATTCAGAATATTCTGTATTCATTAAAACAATTGATTCTATATCTTTAATAAACTCTTCATAAAATGGTTTTAAATGTTGACCATTAACAATAAAAATATTACCATTTTATGGATTCTCTACCTCCACTACTCCATTTCCAAACATTCGCCTCACAATGTAAGACCCAGTCCACCTTGACCTCAACTTAGTAGGAAACAGGCGGAGCCTTGAATTGAATAGGAGGACTTTCTGGAAATGAGCAAATGATTTTTTCAATATGTTTTTGTCATGAAAAACTTTCATCCTTTCTTTTGAAATTTTGGCATTGTCATACTGTCACGCCCCAAATTTCACAAAAGCGTGATAAAAAAAATTACTTTGTTTATTCCAAAAACACATGCTGATTTGTTGTAAAAACATCTAGCAAAATTTATCTCTTTAGTTTAAATAAACCATTTTTTTTAGAAACTTTTTGTAGAGTTCCCCTTGAAAATCGGGCATCCAGATAATTGGTGAGAGCTACCTGTGAGAACATTAAACATAATAATTATACCTAACTAATCATTCACATCATATCAATCATATACATCCCTTCTCATGATATCCACAAACAAGTCATTACCGTTCAATACTGGGGTGGCAAATGGAGGCCCACAAAGTCCTCCTAAACCTGGGTTATAATCTAATTATCTAAAATTCTTCGTCATGAATATAATATACAGAATATCTAAAATCTTTATAAGTAAATCATTTAAAAGGTCTCAATCTATACATATTCCCTCAAATTAACTAAGATATAAATAACTTACGAATCCTCAATAACAGACATCATCGTAAATTTTTGTTTACATACTCTAACTAAATATATAAAGCCATAACAACTATCTTCTATCCCGATACTCCCACTATGCAGTCCACCAGCATATGCCCATAATTGAAAATGTTAAATGATAGGGGTGAGCAACCACACGCTTAGTAGGATAATCCTTTTCTCAAGCATTTACAAAGTTTTAAATATCAACATTTCACAAACCATACAAATAAGTAATGAAAACTTTCTATAATTTAGTATAGGAACAAGATAATAAGTAGACCATTTATAAAAATCTCCCAATACATCATCATTAGAAATATACAATGTATAAATTAAAGGTTTATACATTTTAAGCCAAATCATCATAGCAAATATCATGCATGTCTCACATATGGACAATTTAATCAATCACACTGGTTCGCGCATGAACCATCCCCGGAGAACCTTTTGGGGCTTGCACCCTAGGGTCTCATCGCCCTTCTCGCTTTTCAAGGGGAATGTGTAGGGCACAGCTTGTGACACCACATAGGCCATCACCGAAAATCATTACCATAACCAATCCCCCTTAGGACTAGTAGCCGCCTTGGCAACCCACTTAATAGGCCCCAATTGTCTACTAACCCTCTACCTGTCAGAATCGAGCATACATTTTCTAAAAATTATTATTTTCTATATCCATAAATCCTTTTGAAAACACATGTCATAACCTTGACATTTTATTAAACATGTAGTAGACGCAAATCTCAAAATTTGCATTTTCAAAGCAGTATAACCCTTTTCAAGAGACTAAGTCATATATATTATGTATAAATTCACACCATACTTCAACACCCCCAAATCATAGGTTTAATCAAATACCCATAACTAAAATCAAACTATGGTTTCAAACCTAGAATACTAAAATCATTTCCATTTTCAAGAGAATAAGTCATATTATGTACAAGATCATAGCATACTTAAAAAACTCCCAAATCATAAGATTAATCAAATACCCATAACTAAAATCAAACTAGGGTTTCAAAGCCATAACACTAAAATTATTTTTTATGCATGTGGGTTCACAATTCATGGCATACTCAACACTAAATCAAGATTTATAACAAGTATTTTGCCATCAAACACATATTAAGCTTTAGCTAAAAAAAACACATCAGAAGCACAATGTAATTGCAAGAGATAGGAATACCCCACCTAGAAATCAAGAATTCCAAGCCAAGTTCCTATGATTTTCAAGCTTAATCTCCAAGATTCTCAAGCCAAGCCTAAGCTCTATAGCCCTTCTTCTATCTTTTTCTCTATTTCTCTCTCTAGTTCTAAGATGGGTGGAGGAGTTTTGGGTGAGAGATGTGAGAAAAATGAGAGAAATAGATTGAATTTTGGTTTTAAACCTAGCAATTCCCGTCAGAAACAT